AAAACTTTAGATGATCAGATTTCTGTTTGATACGAACGCCATCTTTCTAAGATTACTAAAAGTTGAACCAAGTATATCGATAAAACAGAAAAAGACGAGTCGGTAATCTCGGAAGTGAAATGAGAGAATACTTTTACCTCTTCTCTCATCACTCATATTACAGAACATATAAAATGTACATAGAGCGAAAGAGTGTGATGATATAAGAGGGTGACACTGCTAGAAAACATGAAAAGTTATTTTTCCGGACGGAGAATAAAGGGGTTTCATAAATTTCTACCGGTCCAGCGTAAATAAAGGAGAGCTCGAGAGAAGGAGTTGAGATTACATTAACCAAATATGACTCTCAGAAATATCAGCCTCATCTCATACATACATATAAAGTTTTCTTGAATAAAATGATTAAATCTAACAATTTTAAAATTATCGAATTGAAATTAAGAAAATATAAAATAAATAATACTTTCTCCATCTATTTAGTACAAATATTTCTTCTAATTAAAAAATGTAATATTTAATTTAAAGTAAATTTGATCGCGGGTGAAAGTGAAAACATTAGCAAGAATGTTGTATTTTCTACATTTCAAACATATTTAGCGTGATAAATACATCAATAAATATTTATTTCAATATTAAAGAGAGAGAAAAAAAGAACATGAAGCGAAAATCCGACAATCTCACATAACACATACGACAAGCTCATATAAATATGCAGAAAAACTATAAAATAATACTGTTAAAAGATTATATAGAATTTGGGAGAAAAAAGTAAATTTGTAGGAAAAAATAAAATCAAATTTTATAAACTGCATCCACACTAAATTGGAATTTTAATCAAAGTAAAAGAATGATTATAACATAAGCAATCAACATAAACTTGTCGTCAGTCATAAAGTAGTACGTTTACATATCACCGGAACGATCCGCCGACTTTGCATATGCATACGCGAGCCTAAACATAGGAAGTTGATATAGAAGTCTATTCTTGTAAAACAAATAATCCTGCAGATTCAAGATACGTATCTGTCTGCGTACTCGAGAGTATCGGTATCGAGTATCTTCAAAAGAAACGAAGAATAAAACGGACAGAAAAAATAAGACATAAAAAGTATATAAATTTATATTTTATTCATTTGTTGATCCTAATTTATTGCTACATTTTAGTTAATTTTATATTTTTAAAATGTTATTGTAACACCTATTTTTCCCGGTTTTTATATTTATTCTTTATTGATTTTCATTAATTTCTATCACGTGCAACAAGTCTTCAAAATGCAATATCGATATATGGAGAGACGTAGAAATATTTAAACGTTCGCATTTTACATTGCTAATAGATAAGATACTTGCCAATAGACATTATGCTAATATATTAGACCAACATCTTATAAATTTACATCTTATATATTATACGTTAAAGAAAAAACAAGGCAAACATGTAGGAAACAGCATTAATTACTGTCATACATAATGAGCCTATCTTTGAAATATACTCATCGATATATGAAGCGACATAGAAATATTTAAATATTCGTAAATTGTTAATAAGTAAGATAATAAGATTTTAAATTGCTAATAAATAAGATACTCATTAGCAAATAATTATACTAATATCTTAGAGTCCTATAAAAATAATATTACAAGTTGCACAAAAGAACAGATGTGGGAAAAGTCAAAAACACAATATTAAAAGTAGTGTTAAAGGGGACAATTTTATACTAAAATAAAAAAAAAAATTTAATAAAAATAAAATAATTCAGTATATATCTTTCAAAATAAAATAGTATTTTTATATAAATTAATATTAGTTTTTAAATTTAAAAGAACACACTCTCTCTCTCTCTCTCTTATTAAAAACAAAATATTGAAGTAGAATATATTTACGTCCGACGGTGAAACGCAGATATAATTCTATTAAAGCTAGCTAATATGAAATCATGACAACCGACGGAAATTTTGCATTTAACCATATGAAAGTTTAGATAAATATATAAACGTTTATACATTAAAAAAAAAATTTTCAAATACAAGGAATGCTTATATGTTAAAAGATTTCTATTTTCACTTTCAATTACAAAATAAAATCGTCTCGAATCATATGAGAAAATATATTTTAAAAAATCTAACATTCTATATCGCGCTTTACATGTATATATAAAATAATAATCATTTAAAGTACACGTGCAAAATGACAGATTTTCCTCTAAAAAATGATTCTTATCAAAGATTATACTTTTATTTACGATGAAGCATTCGTTAATTTTTGGATGCCACGCACAAATAAATAGATAATTGAAGTTGAGAGAAAAAGGAGCCGACATACACGAGATACGTGAAGTAAAAGTCTACGCAGAGGCGGCCTCCTGCCAAGCGAAATATACGGATGATGCGGAGAGGGTATACGGCTGCAACATCAAGTATCAACAATATTGCTCACGGTCTCGGTCTTTTGACACGCGAAAAATAAGACGAGAACGCGACGGTATCCGCAGAGGAAGGCTCCTGCCCTTCTGGTGGGGCCAGAAACACTCTGCTCTCCGACCAGCGAGTTCGCTGTAGAAAGAGTCTTGGAATTCAAAATGGCTGTCGCGGGATCGCGAGCCGCTATGCGTGGGCAACCCAGCACACACCATCTCGCCTTCGTGGCACGTGGTATGTCGCTTAAAAGAGCGTCACATCACGGCCATGATGATTCTCCAACCCGAGAAGTTTCAATACTTTTCTGTCTCCCTTGGAATCACGTTCATGTCAATCCCATACGTTCACGAAACTAATAAATTATATATGTCAATTAATGTACATTATCCTTAGACTGGAGTTTTTATTCGTTTCATAAAAAAATTTAGATTATTTTTAATCTGGTTATGTGAACAAATCATTTTTTGATAGACTGATTTATACATATATTAAAATTTAATAAAGATGTAAAAATAGAAAAAAAAAGATCAAAGCTGCTGCCATGTCGAAAACGGCCATACTCGCTTCGCGCCATCCTTCGTCCGGCAGCCATGCTCCCTAATACAGACTATGGGAAAGATTTTCCTCCTTTCGGCCATCATGTCCCGATGACTGGTCCAGCCGAATCTGAACTTTCACCATGGAGCGCGATTCGACAATCGAGACACACATGTCGCGACATTAGCGCGAGAAAAATGAATATTATTAATTTATGGCACAAAGTGATATATGCATATTAAATCGTCATAAAAATTCTCATCGAAACATGACATTCGATCAAAATATCAGAGTTATTTATACAGGCTTTCCTGCGAATAGAAACTCAGTGCGCCTATTCGCCGGATCCTAAGGATACTCATCTCTTTCTTTCTTTTTACCTCTCTGTTATCTCTTCTCCAGCTCCCATGGCTTCCCTGTATCTCTCCACCTTTTTCTCTACCTCATTTTTATTCAAATTCATCGGGAAACTTCTCGGGTGCGAGTACTCCCAGTCTGACAGTTACCGGCGCTTCCCCCTTTATCTACCCGTTCGTTCCTCCTATCCCCCTTGTTTTCCATAAATTTAGAGTTTTATTTAATCCGCTCTCCACCACATGCATCGTTACCCCCACGCATACTGTAGCTAAAACTCGAATACCAGAGACCCCATTCGAGTTGTATCTCGAAAAGATATCGCACGTTCAGAACGTATAATCAGGAACATGCCACTATATAAGGTATCCCGATATCGTGGTATCTCCCGAGTTTAATGGATACGAGAGTCCCACCCTTAAAGAAGAATGCTGTTATTTATGATTTAGAGCAAACGTTTTTTTTTTTATTGGCAAAAATAATATTATTATTTTAATATTAAATAATATTATTTTAATTATTATTAATATATGATAATATATAATAATATATATAGGATATACAATATATTTGTAATATTCTTTTTTTATTGCTGCTAAAATTAAAAATTTTTTAAAAATTAAACTCTTTAAGAGTTTTGATTTATAGTATTAAAATTTATGTTGAGTATTTTTTCAACAGGAAAAGAAAAAAAACGAAAATATTCAAATTAAAAAACTGTTATAATTTGCAAATATATTCATAATCCTATAATTGCTGTACAAATGCAAGACACATTCTCGAAGATCATATGTATAAATTGGCAGGTAAAATTTTCGGGTCGAACGTATAATCAGCGAAAGTAATTTAGATAGCGACGCTATTTTATTTATATCACTCTCGCAGGTTTGCACGGTCATAAGATGTAAGTGTGCGTGTATATGTGAATTAATGCAACGATGGAAGGGCAAAGAACGAAGGTATTTGTGAGGAGAAGAACAAAATAATGCTAAACATGCGTGCCATTGGAGAATCGTAAAATAGAAAGATCGTAAGAGTTGATGGTTCTCGCACGAATTTCTTTCTGCAGCATTAATTGCCTAATGAGATTGTTCTATCACGATAGGAATTTCAATAATTTATAATGAGCGAACAGATACCGGTAAACTATCACGTTATATACCGTAACGTAAAAAAACATGAAAATTAATATAATTCAATTCACACAATTTGAAATAAATAATTTAGACATTTTATCAATTTTTTAAGTCATTTATCTATTTGATAGCACATATTAATTTCTCATGTAAAGAATGAGCATCAAATATTGCACTTTATTATTTCGTAACATTAACAATTAAATAATGTTTTAATTTTAAAATAATTCTTTAATTTCGCAAAATAAAAGTTAAATGTATAAAAATTATTAATTTGATATTTAAGAGATTTTTAATTTTTAAATAATTTTTCAATTTTAAAATGTTATTTATAGATACTAATTTATGATTAATTTGATAGAGCGTATAATAAATGAATGCATTTGAAATCTCTATCTGATTTAACAAGGTTTAAATAATGAAAAACGAGATTTGAAGGTTTATTCGGTCCTTCTTTCTGATGCACAATTTAATGTGCGGGAGAGCAGTTTTTAGAGACAATCGGTCCACGGAAATAATTCTAATGTAGTAACAATATGACATTTCTCCACTCACCTTGCGGCTATAATAATAATAATAATAATGACGCAGGGGTCGCTGCAGGACGCCGACAGTTCGATGTGGTCGTGCGTCTTGGCGGCAGAAGGGCTGCCCTTTTCCCTTCCAAGGGTCGCTGTGACCCGAGTAGTTACTCCATGCCGATCCGTTTTTCAACTGCTGAAACAGCCAATGTACATTGGACCCGCGTTTAGCGCAGCTGATTAAAAACTGGGACATTGGATGTGCTATTTTTACGAAATTTCACGAACATTGTTCCTTCAAAATCAATATTAGAAGACTTCACACAAGAATGTTCATAATTTCTATTCTACCGCAAATTACAATGTCACTAATAAACATTTTTGTTAAATCCGTTCTTGAAAAGCGAATCATGAATCTTGCACCATGTTTCTTTCAAGCAGCCATTTATTTTTGATAAGACACCTTCACAAATAACGACGAGAAAAATTGCACACCGATACAAGAATGATCGATTATCACGATTATCATTCATCCGCGATTCAAAATTCGCGTGACTGGTATCACGAAGTACAGTCTGAAGAATTTTCGGAATACGCCATTTTCCCTCCCTCTCTCTCTCTCTCTTTCCTTCGTCTAGACCTACATAGGAGAGATGATGTATGCGATAATGCTCGCATCGAGCGCGCAACGATCGTGTTTATCACGTATCGCATCGATCGCGCGGAAAAGAAAACAGGTGAGAAGGTGGGAACGGCGGCAACGATAACATCTGGGCGTTCACCACATATCACGAGACATATCCGGATCGCGTCGCCCGCGAGATCGCAGGAGGACGCGTCGCGTCGTCGGGATTTCGACTGCCTACCAGCCGCGCGACGAGGCGAAGCGAGGCGACGTTGGTGAACGTAACGGAACGGAAATATACACCGCGAGCTGAACGAGTTAGCTCGCTGCCAAAGCTTGGCAACTCCACTACGCGGGCTGAGACGCGGCCCAAGAGACCGTAGGTACCAGCCAACGGGATTTACTATGCTTCAACTGTACCGGATTCTCTCTGTCTCTCTCCTCCTGTCTCTCTCTCTCTCTCTCTCCCTCTTTTCCGCTCTTGCTTTCTCACCTTCTCTCTTTCCCGCTTAAGCAGCAGAGCAAGGCGCAGCAAGACGAGTTGTTGCGAGCGACACGTAACAACGACCGCCTCTCCTTGCCTCGCACACTGCCGTCGCGAAACCGTAGGACGGAGTCAGGTCGAGGCAGGCCAATCAGGCGCCCACCGTATCTACCTGCGGACTGCCTTCTGTGTAGCACCTGTGAGATATGTCTCGGTCCTATACTTTGTAAAATGCCGGCTCGTCGATGACAGATCGTCCGCTTCGACTTAACCCTTTTTCGCCTTTATCGCTTCTTTCCATCTACGCTCGACGTTGCATCGCTTGGCATTACGTGCTTGCGAAACCCGCTGGTGAGTTGCAACGTATCCAAGTCGATTTATCAACGATGAGTCAAACAATGTAAATGAATGTAATTTGTTCTAAAAAATGCTACATGGTACGCTGTCAACAACATTGATACGAGTATCTCTCGACACTTGGATATTCGCGTTAATCAAGACGCGAAGAGACGCGAGAAGACAGAATAGTCGACGTTTCATTTCTCGGTGGGAATTTCAAGACCGAGGAAAGAAGCGAGTCGTTATACCGTAAAACGGAGCACCGAAAATTGAGTCACTAGCCAGTTTTATTTCGGTGCCTCTGGCTCTTAACGCTCTTCTGCAAATACGAAACAAAGGTCCGGCCATTGATTGGATTTCTCTCAGAAATGTTTAACGCTCACTTGAACATCCTTCCAATGAAATGGCTCCTTTCATTGTATCGGTAAACCTTCGACGCTCTTCATCATTTCTTATCGTTATTTCCATTGCTATCATCGATATCAAGAGAATCTGAAGCACCTGATCGACTTTAATATGCGAAAATTTTATAAAACTTTTGTCATGTTTAAACTTTATAAATAAACCTTTTTCAATTCAAAAATAAATTAAGATCGAATGATTTATTATGCGCATGAATTTTTTTACCATCGATTAAAGCTGTTGTAATACGTTTGAATCCATCGCGATAATCAAGCACGTATCTATGTGTCATTCCTCATGTTTTGTGCGAAACAATCTGCGAAAGATTTATAATTCAGCTCGAAATAAGAGTTAATAAAAATTTGATACATTACATTTGCAAATATAATGATCCTATTAACGGTTTCTCACATTGTCAAATTATAATATATCAATTTTAAAATATACCCGGTTCTCGTATAAGTCGACACACATGTCATCTTCATCGATTATGCTCAGAATGGCTTGACGATAAAAATGTCAAGTATCTTTATCACTTTTGGCGGTGCGCTCTTTCAGGACTTAAAAAACTTTTAATTAAAATACTTTGGCCAACACAAGCGTGCGTGAAAGGCGAGCGTGAATTCTAAAATAGTAACGGCGTGGAAGGATTTCGATGCTGTTGATGTCGCGATTGGTTAACTCGAGCCGCTTCGAGATTTCAGGTTCGGCCCACGATATCTTAATAGATTCCCTTCTACTTGAATCGCGTCATGGCTGCTCGTAGGGATCCTGTTTCGTTTCAAACGACCATCTTGTGCCAATAGTTAAAATTCAATGCTGCTCGCGATATTTTTATTAACACTAATACACCTTTAATTCTCAATTCTTTCCATATAATTAATTTAAATTTATTTATCGATATTATTCCACTTTAGGTGTGAATAATTTACGTTAGATATTCGCATCTCTTTTAGGTTACATTGACATCTGTTGTAATTTTTCAAAACTGAAACGCAATGAAAATAAAATTAAAGAACTTGGATCGGAAAACGACTAGGCACTTCTAGTTAAGTGTATATAGGATGGTTTATTATTTTATAGCGACGTAATCTGTAGGCAGTTAAGACTTAAATAGCTGGCCACCGCGTTTAAATAACAGCGCTCAATAGGTTTGTAAAGTCATATTTTATCGTTGATCGTCGTTCGTCAAAAAGACCATCGGGACACAAGTTCGAATCTACGGGGCAATAAATTTACAATCCCAGAAAGCAAAGCATAAAACTCGTTTCGTTTCTGCAGCATAGATAATCTATAAGGATACGCCATCGTTGTATTCTTGGATCTCCAAGATCTTGAATCAGGCAGACCCTACGCTAGAAACTTTCATTATGGAAATGTGTAATCGTGTATTCGTTATAACCGTTTAATGAACTGAGACCCGAAGAGAATTTATTATCTTTACAAATTATGGCTCGATTCTGAGGAAAAAAATAAATAAATAAAAATATTGTACACAATACAAGTGTTTTACTATTTTAATAATTTACACTCGTGATGTTTTATATCACGTGTAATATGTAACGCGATAAAAACTAGGTTGATCCGCTGCACGCGTTTATCGTCGTTTTAAACAGCCATAATCGCATATAGATACAGTAGCGATAAAATCATTAGTCGCTGAACTTAAACATTGAATGTTATAAGGATAGCTAATAGAATCGGCAAGGTCGTTTCGCTCATTAAAGTATTTACGACTACAATTGTTGCGTGTCATCTAAATCGAATAATCATCTCATAAATTATATCTGAGCGATTTCATTCTAGATAAAATATTTCATTCATACATCGTGCGATATTTGCATGCTAATCGGTATTTATATATCTACATTAGAATTAAGCGATCTTTAAAGAAATGGACGTAATAAGCATGTTTAAATCTATAGAAATGCATATTTAAATCAAACGTTTACTCATTTTAATTAAGCAAAAATACGTTTTAAGTAACTTCGATGACTAATGATAGCTCTTATTAATTTTGCATCCAGTTTAATAATATTGTACATTACTCGGAGAAGCTAGAGAAAATAGTTTCAATATAAAAAATGATTAAGAAAGGCTTGCAAATTTAATTTATAAAATATATATACGAATAATAAATTTTATCGATATTTCCAAACTAATTTCCTTATCTAAACTAGAAACATTACAATTCATTCATAATAGCTCTAGAAGATAACGCGCGTTTTAATGCCATAATGTAAACGCACATATGTATAATAAAGTGATTGATCACTCAGCTCAGCTGTGCATTATAACGAGAACCAATAAAATTCAAGGTCGTTTCACTCATTAAAGTATTTATGATATTGCAATTGCTATGGGATATCGGTCACAATTATCACCTATTTAACTTCACGCCGGACGATTTGTCTTCAACATAGCGCAGCGTTTTACAGCTCGGTCCAGTCACTCCGATAGAAGAAAAGGGAAGACGGGGGAGAACATAAGAGCTCATAAATGCGAATTTAAGAGACGCAATAAAAACACATTGAAATCGAGAGTGAACGAGTGGAAGCACGTGCTTCAACGATTGCGGGATTTTGTTCATTATATCACTATTCATTTGCGTTGCGTTTATGAAAAATTTGCGATCTGATCAATGTATAATTTAATTATTATCAAAGTGATTTCAATCTTGGATTTTACTTAGGCTACTGATTTCTCTAAATATATAATAATGTAACCATATATAATAAATAATATGTAATAAATATATTATAATGTAACCATATATTTTTTTAGATTGAGATGAATCGTAAAAATAATCTGCTGCTTTCTTGGCTTTTAATTTTATACCACTTATTTTAAAAGTTAAGATTTCTATTTATTTATTCTATATAACCAAAAAAAATTCTGCCATTAGCATTAATAGGCACGGTATCCTTGGACCCCCGATATATCTTCTTCGCTTTCCTCGCGTACTAAGATTATATAAAAAAAGAGTTAAAAAAATTATATTCTTAAAGATCTGTTTGCTTTTCCGAAATTATGTTTCTCCTTGAATTCGTCACGATACAATTTTTTCCCTTGCCTGTAAATGCCGAAATGATCCAAGATACATAAGAAAGGCTCTAACGAAAGGTCAAAGCTCCCATAAACGGTTTATTGATGCCTGCAAAAACACTCCTGAGTAGACAGACTTCTGTGAAATACCTGAATCGTTTTTGGCATTTCCAAAATTAATTTGCTTCAATTTATCGACTAAATATATACACTTTGATATTTTATTCTAGATATGTTAACGCACATTTCTCATTATTTTTTATTTCTAAACTTTGATTATATGATCCAGTTTTTTATCTAT